TGACCCGTCTCTGGCTCTTTAACATCAAAAATATATCACGCTATATTTTAAAGACTTACTTAACATAAAAATAATTATTATAATTTACAGAATGATATAAAACCTATTTCAGAAAAATACTTCTCAAATTTTAATATTAAAGACAAATATCTCGGTCGAAATGCATTGTAGAAAAAAAATTTATAGGAAATTATTCTAATAATTTATAGGAAATAATTCTATTTATTATTATTTATACTTGGGGTTATTTTTACTTGCTTTATGTGAAAAATTATCCATTTTTACGAAATTTGTCATTCTGTACTATATCGAGAATTGAAAATCAAAAGAATTCGCTAACGTGATGGTTGCGGAAAATTTCCATCATATTTTACATTATTTAAGTATAGCTTGTCAAATAGAATATAAGCTATATAGTACTTAGTTATTAGAAAACACCTAATATAATAATTTGAGGAGTTCCATATTTCTGAACAATCCAGCACAAACAAAATTTCTTCACACTAACAACGACTTATTCATTAACGCATTGGAAAGCTCCGAGAGGAGAGTGTCACGGCCGACCCAAATTGTGGGCACGTATACTTTTCGTCGTTAAGTCTGAAAACGTGAGATGAATCTCCGTGTTACGTGATCGAGATCGATGTCGAACCTAATATTCCGATCACAAGTCTCATTAGAAAGTGTTGCGTGCGCGACATGTGTCGTGTCATAAAGTGCGCGAATTATAAATGAATAATTCTACATTAAAAATCTTTTAATTATCTTTTAATTCCTATAAGCGCGAAAAATGTCATAATGTCATCTATTAAATTCACATAAATAAAATGCTATAACTGACATTTATTATAAATTCGTAAATAAATAATATCTTACTTCTCACTTTTGCGATTAGAATTTAATATAGATTTGTGTTTAAAAAATAACAGTTCTTCTTTTTCATCCATTCATTATTTTTGTTTAATTGTCAATTATATTATGACATCTTTAAATTCGCTTCCTTAATTCTATCAGACATAATCCTACAACAATGTCACATATGTAAGACTCGTGTAACACAAGATTCTCATTGGAAAGATCTATTTGTGCGATATACGGGATAATTAAATAATTTGCAAACATATAATTAATTATGGCGTGTCGTATGATAATTAGAGATGACACGATAGTGCACTTAAATGTGCGTATCGATGTATGGCGATTTATCCGCGCTCGTATTTTCCGTGTTTGCACAATCGATAGGCAAAATAAATACGCTAGCGGACATTCGTTCTCGCAAGATTATAAAACAGAATCGAACGAGTGTGTGTGTCGTGCTCATAATATTGTTGCAAAGTGTGCACGTGTGTGGGATGAGCCGTTGCTCTTTAATCCGTCCAGCAGTGCCGAACAGATCAATGAAAAATTATAACGGTATTAACATATGTGGAACATGCGAAAGAAAAATCAGATTCTATCACGATGCGAAATTTAAGCATTTTGTAAAGTAAAACATACGTCGTAGCATTATTGAATTTCATAAAATGATAATAATTTTATTGTACCATATATTAATTTATTTTATAAGTAATTTTCACTATATAATCCTCTATATTACTAAAAATCATATAATTGTTTTCTATATGTACATAAATTTTTCTTTTAAATAAAATATATATATTGGAAATATATATATATATATATTGGAGCAATAGTAAAATATTTTTTGATAGCAATAAAAAATAAAAATTTGTTTTTTAACTCGTTTAAAGTAAAAAATATTAATTATTTGAAAATATATATTGAGATATTATTATATGTATAATAAAATTTATTATTATCAATATATAATAAAATTAATTATTATCAATTATATAAAAATAATTTTATATATTATATAGTATGTAAAGTATGTAAAGCATGTTGCTTCAGAGAATTAATCTTATTGAGAAGTTGATATCACATCAAGTGATGGGATAATCTACTTTGATCTAGATTGGTCTTTCTTTATGGTCCGAGCTAAACGCGGATCCTGACCTCCGCTAACCGGGTACTGGTGATCTGATCAGCTGAACAGGATTAGACGATCATACAGTGATGCAAGAACACAGGTTAGTCGCATTTTGATGCAACAGAACATTTCCAATTACTTAATTAAATAATTTACCTTATAGTAACCAAAGACATTAAGACATTCCTAACATTTTAAAAAAATATCTAGCCGATGACCCTCTTTGCAGTTTATCATCGTTTCTACATTTCATTATCTTCTACGAGATGGACTCATCCCTAAAGTATACAGTACGATAGAAAGTGACGAAGATGATCCTCACAAAGGTGAAAAGGTTCTAATGAAAATATTTCTTTTGGTACGGATTTAGGAAACAGGATAACTAGTAACTGTAACAGTAACTGTATCTGATCATTTTCCTTTTGAGGACCAAAGACATTAAGATATTCCTAAAATTTGAACAAATAATCTAGCCGATGACGTCACCTTCTTCGCAGTTTATCATCGTTTCTGCATTCTATTATCTTCTACGAGGTGGACTCATCCCTAAATTATACAGTACGATAGAAAGCGGCAAAGATGATTTTCACAAAGATTGAAAAGGTTGAAAAGGTTCTAATGAAAATATTTCCATTTGTACGAATTTAGGAAACAGGATAAATAAATAGGATAAATGAAGGTCCACTGAAATATTTGCTATAATTTGTAGATTAAAGATGAAAAACGGAGAAATCTAAACATTAGAAAACATCTGTAACTACTTGTAACAATTTTTCAAATTCTCAGTATATGCGTCAGCGTTAATGGGAACGAATTATCTAAAAGAGTCTTTCGTGTTAAAAAATAAAATAATCTGCCATAAAAAAGAAAACAGGATAACTATCACTGTTGACTGTTCACTGAATCATTTGTTCTCTCCTTATGCTATTACTAAAACAGAATTCCGATGATGCTACTATTCCTCAAGGCCATTAAACCTGACCTATCATAAAAAAGAGAGTACAACGATTATCTATTGTCTAGTTATTGTCTATCCATTTATAGACATACATTACTTGTTTCCTCACAATGCAACTGTTAAAAATGTACAAGTTTTATGACAACATTATATATTAATTTTTATTGTTGTACAAGAAGAAATTTCAAATCTTTTTGATAAAAATTCAATCAATTTTTAACAATACAATTTATATTTAAATATATTTTTTAACATTAAATATTTTGTCCTCATCATTTGTTCGATTTTTGCAATTATTTCTCATTTATATCACTTTACAGAAAAATAATGATTTAATATATTTGTATTTTATAAATTTCCTAGGAATATTTAGATTACTTATAATGCTTACTAATTTCTTTTTTATATCATTAGCTGAAAAAGAATGCTTTTGTAAAATAATATTTTTGTATTTACATTTTGGTATTTACATACATGTTTTAAATTACATTTTAAAAGCACCGAATTTTTTTATCGCAAAAGATATATACTCGAGAATTTAATGAATCGAGCATTCTTATGGTCAATGGCAACTATTATGCTAAACCGAGTAATTTCCGTTGCACACAATACATATGTAAAATAGCCATTAAATAGAACATTGTGCGTGTACGTGTTGCAATTTGGCAAATAGCCGCGGGGATATTAAATATATAATTATACTGTGTTTTATGGTAAGAATCAAAATATGAATGTAATGAAGATAGAGAAAGAGGATCAGAATTTGTAAAACGTGCTCCATAAGTTTGCTTGGGATTACGAAATTTTTAAATACAATCAACATTAAAAAGTTTGTTCTCAATATGTTCTATACAAAACTCTTTTCGCAAATACTTTTCATTTGCTTTTTAGAAGGCCGAGAAAATAGATGAAGCCATTTTCGCAAAGGATTAGATCTGCGTTTCGTGTCGGAATCGTACTCGAGAAACTATATATCTAATTGAGAATCGCGAAGCGCGCTCCGTTAACGAGCGTAATTGTTCTTGGATACAAGGGGATTTAATTACATGGCACCTTCCTCCGCGCGCAACATATCTCATATTAATGAGCGACAATCGCGAAGGTGAGTAATTACGCAAAGAGCGGTCGGCGTATCAACAATCGCGCTTTTAGCCTGATTCCACATCGTTTGTTTACAAGCAAACCAACTGCGGGAACCCGCAACACTCTCTGGGTTAATTAATCGGTCATACACGTTCATTTCAATGTAACGTTTGCTGAACGATTGATACTAATTCAGCACTCAAATTTCGAAGGACCACGAGAATTTTCATTTAAAAATATTTAGTCATATGTTACATTGAAGCAAATTTTTGCGGAAATGTAATTAAAAATTTAATAAAAATTTAATTTATAATTTTGTAAAGTAATTAAAAATTTAAATATGTTTATTATGTGTAATCTCATTAAAAAGTTAAATATGTGTAATATCATTACAACGTATTATAAATTTTATTTATTATTAATTTAATAAAACGAGAGGCAGAAGGAAGATTGTTATAAAAATATTGCAAAATTATTCTATAAAAAAATTAACATTAAGTTAGCATTAATTTTTTGAGATTAATTTATATTGCTTGTAATAATTGAAATATTAATTTATTGTTAAATAATAATTGAAATTATTAATTTATCGTTAAGCAGTAATTGAAACATATATTTCTTAAAATTTATTCGCTTTTCAAAAATTTCTAAGAAATATTAACATATGCAAAGTATAAAAGTATAAAAGTTTGTATTATAATAAATTTGTGGAAGCATAATTCTCTAATCGAATGCTATCAATAATTTATATACATATATGAATTTTTTTGACATTTTTTCCTGGCAATCCCATATTTCAATTCCCGTATTTCATCACCTATTTCAATTTACAACTCTGTGTAAGGTACGTGACATTTTCGTGAATATTCGTGAGGTTCAATCGCGAGGATGATAAATTTCTACTGAGCGTTGTCAGCGCGTGTTTACATCCGCATGTGTGTATGTATACATAAACAAAACTCGACTTACCACGTTTGGATTCGTCCGGGAAACGCAGATCCGTTGTTCTTCTCTCTCTTGTGTTCTGGTTGCGTGATCCGATAAAACAATATCAATTTATCGCGTCTTCTCACGCATACACGTGTTTACGCATCCTTTTCCTCCTCTTCCTCTTCTACGCGTTTGCGTTCTCTTCTTCTTGAGCCTTCCTGAATAATCCGCTTCTCTTTCCAATCGGACACTTTCTCACGGAATAACTGAAAAAAAAATAACGAAGCGCGAAGAGGAGCGACCCCGAATGTGTCAGCCGGCGAATTTTTGTCTGTGTCACGTGTCGCGGAGACCTGTTTCGCGCGCTGGTCCACTCGTCGTCTGCTTTCTCCCTTCCTCTCGGTCTCCTTCAAAATGATCGGATAAATGTCACTTTCTCTCTGTCGCCCGTTGAACGTAATGCACTACTTTATATTGCCCGTTATATCTATTCTTTGACGATAAACTATTGCGATGCGTCTATTCGTTCCCCTTAATTCTCAATTCTCTAAATGTTTAAATTGGTTTAAATATTAGGAACTATGTAAAATTGTACGCTCTCTTTTCTATCTTTCCTTCTTTCTCCTTACCGTGTTTATGCCGCCTCTTTATGTCACTATCCTCGCACCTGTCCGACTGACAAGACGACGCCACTGAGCACACTTTCACGAACTGCGCCGTTTTCGTTTTTTAATTCAACGCGAGAAACACCACGCTGACGATCCAACGAATATTGCAGCGTGTCCCCCTTTTGGTCCTTTCGTCGCGAGAGCGATTACTCCGTCGAAATTCGCACCGGCCGGAAGAGGCACTTCCGCTCGGCCCGCTTTCCGATCGATCGATCTCCCGATCGATGTCGGATACTTCCTTCTTTATATCGGATCCAGGACGATCCCGCGACGTTTCATCGTTCCTCGATGATCGTTCTTAATATTCATACGAAGAAAGATGAGGAGAGAAAAATATCCCAGAGATCTTTAAAAAAAAAATAAATAAATAAATAAATAAAATCTCTAGATGTGGCAAATTTGCAATCACCGGGAATTATTATACTCAAAATCCGACCTCGAGACTCTCTCTTTGGCGAGGGCGCGAAGGGTGAAATTTCGAAAGAGCCGTGCGTTCGCAGAGCTACCTTCCGTTCGGTGCAGGCGTCGAGTGGCGACTGCCGTTTCTTCCAGCGCTCGATCTGACTCTGGCCTGTTCCTTCCCCTTCCCCGGCGACCAGCATCGGTTCCCCAACCGACTATGCACAGTTCACGGATTTATGCTATTACGGCACCGTTTTCCACCCTCTACGTGGCCGGTGCACGCTGCCCGCAGCCACCCCCCCTTTGGTCTTTCCTTCTATTTTTTTTAAATTCCGTGCTCTTTCGAAGCCCGTAGGAGGATCCGATGCATTTTTTTCACGCGAGCGAATTTCTTTTCGGGCATTATTAAAAAAGTTTACGTACGTGGAATAAATTTGCGTGGGAAAAAAATACAAGATTAATATTTAAACAATTTCTATTAGATTAATATTTAAACAAAAAATGCGCGATTTGAGTTTAAATTTATTTATGCGAAAAGAGGATCTTCCGCGAGATTTGTTGCTCTAAAAGTAACTTTATATTACATTTACAACAGCCTTTTGTTTCTATTAATCGTATGAATTTTTTGAAATATGGGTTTTGCCAGAAGTGTCCTTTCCCAGGCTCTCTCCCCCGCATTAATGCCACTTACGGATATACAATTCGATTAAGTATCTCCCTCGAAGGGTCGACCCTCCGCATCCCCATAAACACGAATATCCATGCAAAAAGGATCACGACGATCATGACGTATGCACGACGCATCGTCGGCTCGTGCACGCGTGTGCGATGGTAAATACAGAAAGCTCTGGACACGTGAATACGGGGATGTAACAATGCTGACTTCCTTTAGGAACCGGAAATCCGCAAAAGAATCTTAATATAAAAATAATATTTTTTTTCCTTCTCTTTTCAAACCCGGATGTGGACAAGCATGAGCGAACTTTAGCAGAAGGGCACGCGTTCGTCCTCGAGTCGCACGTGCATTCATTTCCTTGAAGGGAGTGTAAGTTCTCGTTACACCTGTAAATGTAATTATCGAGGCTCGAGCTGTATAAGATATGTGTTGTCAACAAAAACAATGTATCCTTTCATATTTAAACGTTTATAAGGAGTGAAAAATTCCATCGAACACGAGATACACAGGAGAACCGTGGTCTTTAGCTGCTCTATTTGGGGCACGTGCCTCCCTCCGAAATCCGCTTACGTATGTATGTATCGTGCGATTCCGGGCCCCTCCTTCTCCGGAATAAATCAACGGAGGAAAACCTGCCGGAAGGTATTAACGTCGCGTCCCATCGCATCGCGGAGAAGGGAGAGGAGAGGAGGGGGACCTTTCGCATCCAAGAGAGGGTTAAGCCGGCGCCCTTATCGCGTGGTCCCGGGAGGGATCTTCTCGTTCTCTGTCTGATCCTGCCTGACGCGAACGATCCACTAGATCGCTCCAATCCTGCCGGGTTTGCATGTGGGCACGGTGAAGAAGGAGGATGGGGGCGAGTAAAGAGTAGAGGGGAATGGGGGGATGAGGGGGAGGAGAAGAGAGGAAGGCAGAAACGGGGCACAGTTGGCCCTTATCGGAGGTCGCGCATGACAAGACAAGCTAATTGTGTTATCAGTGTGCAACGGATGCTGCCGCGCCTCCCTCCCCCTCCCCCCCTTCCTAAGCTGTCCCCCCTTTACACGGCACGCGTGTTTGTTTCGCGCATCTGCTGCAGCCGCCGATGACAGTTGCAGCGAGCGCGTGCGAATCTCTCTGGGATAACATTCTAAGCTTGTTAAGAGTGAACCTTAAGATATCCGTCAATAGTTTCGTTCGTTATATCGATTATTTATATCGACTCTTGGGAAATTTTTGGGAGAAATAAATTATGAATTTAATTTTCGGAATTTAAAAATTGAAATACTTGCTAAATTTAATGCAACTCTCTCCTTCTTTTCTATCGCAACTCTGATGACACTTCTGCTTATCTGCAGTACGGATTTTTAACCTTGTATTTTGTATTGCGTCAACGCAATTGAGCACGCGTAAATTTAATAAATTTAAATTTTATATTTTCTCCAATATTTCTTACATTTGTGCAGATAATCGAGATATCTGGAAAGTATTAAAAAATAGATCTAGATTTACGTCTAGGTTAATGCGTGACAGATCTGTGTTGGTATTCTCTTCTACGGGGCTTCCTATCGTGAAGTAGGTGAGACAGTTTCTGGCTTCAGCTTTAATAAGTTTCCATTTCTTACTAATGATCTAATTTTTTGCGGATTTATTGATACACGCAATCATCATATATCGCAAAGTGAAAAAAAAATCAAAATGAAAAAATATTACAAGTCATTTCTCCTAATATAAGTTTTAAAAAATGTCATTCTTCAATCGTCTTTAAACGAAAGAGCACTTAAACATTTCCTACCAGGTATATGCAAAGTCAATCGGCCGGCTATTCCAAGTCTGGCGCCGTTACTTAAGTCTCGTGCTCTAGGTAATGTATGTTATCTATTTGTTACACATTCAGTGAACGCAATCGAGTTTAATCGGCGCGCGTGGCAATTACAGTAATGCACGTTGTCATCGTTTGAACGATCATTAAAATAATTACAGGGATCGGAAGCGATAAGAAAGATCGGTGGATATTATCGTTGCAGCTTGATTGCAATTATTTGCCAACTAGTTGCACAGACAGAAGACTTTTCCCGCTTTTCTCCCCAGGAATAAGAAAAAGCGCGCGGGAGGATTCCACTCGCAGTGTCCGACTTAATTACGACCGGCCCCTAGCCAGGGTCCATTCGCTCGCCTCGATATGAATATCGCATTAAGTCGTGAGTTAGAGATAGCTCTAGGCGGAAGGGTGGACCCCCGACGGGAAACTACGAATTTAATAGAATAATAAATGGAGCTGTGTGCGCGCGGGAACGGCGGAGCCTGAGGCATAAATCGATTCGCCAATCGTGATTACACATCCATACAGAATAGTCCACGTGCAAAGTGTTTAAGTAAACTAAAAACCGAAAAACTGAAAATTATTCGTGTTAATGATAGAACTAGAGAAAGAAAGAAAAAATAGAGGCAGGAAAGAAAAAAAAATAAGGAGAGAGAAAGAGAGAGAGAGAAATTTCCAGTTACTATTTTCATATTTTCAATGCGCTGATAATTATTCGATGATATAAATTTTAATAAAATTATAAAACTTGCAATTAATATTTATAAGTATTTATTACAACTGAAGTATTGAATTACGAGAACAAAGAATAGAATATAATAGAAAATAAAATAATATATAAAATACGATGATATAGGATAATGTATGATGAATTTTAATCGTTATATTTTTATAAATAGAGGAATAAAAATAATTATATATTTTTCATTAATGATTATTATAATGTATTATTCCAACATATTATTAGTATTATTTTTACAACTAAAATTTATTTCCTTAAATACTTTTATACATATATATATATATATATATATATATATATATATATATAAATTGAATTTGTTCAACATTATTTGCATAAATAATCTTAAGTATTTATATTTAAATATACTCTGCGCGAAAAATAGATTTGTAAGTATCAATTTCATATATGAAGATAATAATACTGATCTCGATCTTACTTGCTGTAATTAACTGTGTGTCGTTTTATACATAGTGTTGTAAAATTTAAAACTGACATTAATAAAAAATAAATTCTTTTTAAACAGGTTGTTTTACAATTTCAAAGTTACTTTGGAAACTTAAATTTAGTTCTGCATCAAATTAAAAAATTCTATATTGATTCTATCATCATTGATTCTATCATCGATATTATATTATATCGAATATTATACAATTTAATATAAATTCATAAATTCGTAATTCTAAAAAAAATATAAAGAAAATTATATAAAATATATCCAGAAGCAATTTCGAGAAGTTTTTTTCAGGAATTTTTTAATTACGAATTCTGTGTTATCAAGTCAACTACTATTTCTTTCCCAAAGTTAACGAAGAGAGAATGGAAGTTAAGGAAATCTTCAACGCGGCGCCAAATGTCCCGCCAAGGAATGCACCTCGATATATACGGGAGGATTTATTTTTTGGAGTAATGCTCAAATTAATAATCATGCCTTTCTGATGGTAATTATGCATGCACTCTAACCCGCGTATATAAATGGAAGGGGTGTATGGAAGAAAAACAGAGAGACGAGGTGGCTCGTAGGTAATTGCACGCGCGCATTCTCGCGTATCAGTATGCAAGCGCGCATAAGTACGGGGTCGAACTTTCGGTACATTTGCCATAATGAATCCCGTCGCGCACGTTTCCGTCCGCTTTGAATATACCCGGTGGTAGGAGAAACGTTAAGGGAAAATATAATGACATAAATAAGAAATATGCATACACGCAATCGCGTATGCAGATTCTACATCCGAGTGGACATTATACATGATATGAATATATATAGCATTGTAAATTTACAAGTTGCGAATTGTATGAGTTGTAGAGAGGTCTATAGATATTGTATTTTTAATAAATATTTTGTAATTAACATTTAAATAAAAAATTTCTATTCATTAGATAGATAGATAGATTTATTGATAGATTTATAGATAGAGATTTATATATAAATAATTTCAATTGCTTCTTGTCTTTAATCATTTTTTTGATCATTCGCAACTTGTAAATTTACAATACTATATATATTTATATCATGTGTAATGTCCACTCGGATGTAGAATCTGCATACGCGATTGCGTGTATGCATATTTCTTATTTATGTTATTATATTTTTCATTTTATTCTCTTTTCTTAATTTTAGAATTATCTTCATCCAACTAATTCCCTCTCCCTTTTCTCCTAAAATTTGACTCATTCTTTTATTATACCTCGTATCTTCTGTACAATTTATTGCTAAATGCTCTAATGTTTTTTACTTCCTTCTGACATATTCTACACAGTTTTTTCTTCTGTTTACCCCAAAATTTATTTCGGACTTTTTTCGTTTCCACATCTAAATCTCGCTATGATCTTTTGAAAGTCTTTCTGACCTTGTTTTCCTAAATATTCTTAAGTATTCCTATTGTGTATAACTTTCTATATC